ATATATTTATTCAAATGGAAACATTTTGACTTCCATGTTGCTCTTATATACAATCAGTTCCAACAATATCCAAAGAGTATTCATCCAAATCGTTAACTAATTTTTTAGCTTTTCTAATACTAACTTATTTTTTTCCTAACCATCCCCTTAATAGACTATAAAGGAAATCAGCTTCAAATTAGTTAATTCAGCACCTAGGTATTAAAAATGGTGTTGATATTCTTTACAAGTGGCTTTAAAAAACAAATTACTAAAACAGAATAATAGGATTCATCATGGATTTTTCTGTCATCCATGTGTCCTATGCCTCCAGAAACACACATCATTGCAAAATGAATGGAAATCAGCATTATTCTCTTTAGATTATTTGAAAGTTCTATTTTGACTCCTAGCACAACCATGATATATGGCCACAAGCACTTGAGCAAGAATGTGGCCTTATCCAAAAAGAAATTACTAGGATTCTCTACTTTTTGTGAGCAGAAGGCAAAAAGACAAATCAAGTTGGTGATGGAGGGTTCGTTCATTCAGCATTCGGGTATTTAGCACATAGAGCAATGGTATGTCACTGGGCACAAGCAGATTTCAGAACAACACAAAATAAATGGTGACATGTGAGGCTTGAAGACAGAACCTCTAATTCTGCAATCACAAATGAAGGCGAGTTGGACCACAATGTGAACAGTTAACACTCAATTTGACAAATAGGCAGGAGAAGTAAGCTTTTCATGTTTGCATGTAGGACCACTAGAAAACCAAATTAGAGGTAACCAACATGATTGATTAATACTTACTGAATGTTGCCTGGGCACTCTAAGAACCCACAATAGCTTAGTAAGGGTGAACACGCATAAGGAATAGATAATATGTCCAAGTCCTCTCTCTTCCTTAGGACTGCCACTGTACTAGAATTTATAAATGCAAGAACTATGCCAATGTTTTCACTGACCAGAACCCAAGAACACAGGCCCTGTGCCCCTCTTCCTTTTTCCTGCTCCTAAAAAATATTATATACTCAGACTACATCATTTTAACTTTTCCACATAATTGCCTTCATTGAATTAGTGCTTTACTGATATTCTTTCTACTTTGAGCAAAGGTTGTTCTAAAAACCTGTCACATCAACTCTGCACCTGTATGAGCTATAAAGCTATTTCTGAAGACACGGTTCATTAAATTATGAGCCAACTAATAATAAAAAATCTCTTCCATGGGGAATAGGCATTGTTCCTCTTTTCTTTTTGTTGTTTTCTTTCTTTTTTAATTCGTACTTTGCCAATCTGTTTGCATATGACTTCTTTGCAAAATTCTCCAAATCCTTCTTAGAAAGCACATATAATAAATTTAATATACAAACTTAACTTTTATAATAATGGGAATAAAATAGTCAAAGTTGATCCGAAAGAACTAAACTCATGAATTTTGTAATCAGTATACTACCATTGATAGACCTTTTAGTTATTAAACAATTCTTCAATACATAGGATTGTTATCTAAAAACTGATGAGATTAGTTAAATTACTGAGTTCAAAATTTTCAGTTCTATAGTTTGCCTCTATGATAATTTCATTTCTATTACCAATGTTTTTCTATCACCAATCCCAGTTTCTATGGAAACCAATGGAAGATTGAGATGAGAAGAAAGCAAAACTTATATAAATTTTTTTTCTTTTAAAATAGGAACATTTTAATCACAAATACTATACATAAACAAAAAATCATAAAAATACATTCTTTTGGGAAGATATTCAACACACACACCCACCCACACACACACACAGAGAGAGAGAGAGAGAGAGAGAGAGAGAGAGAGCGCGAGAGAGAGAGAGAGCGCTTTATTAGAAGAATCTGGCCTCATTCATGCTAGTGAATTCTTACAAATATATTTGGTTTCACAAAATGAAATTATCAAGTTACTAATAATGATTCTTCTGGTAAACCCTAAGAAAGAAACAATTCTCTTGGTTTAACCACTTAAGCAAGTGCAGCTCATACTGGTAATAAGTGAAGGTAATGGCTCTATTGATTTTCATTTGGAAAACGTTGTAGAAGCAAGGAAGAAGATAAGTGGGGAAATATTTAAAAATTAGGCTTAATAATACAAGCAACAGTGGCTACTCAGCATTATATAGCGTCATTTTTTCCTTCGAGTTGGAGTTATACATTATTTTACTTTTTTCTTTTGTGTGTTGTCCAAACTTCTACACTTTGTATAAGTAACTTTTATTATGTGAGTATATAACTGTTATTTAAAGATAATTGAGGCTTGTATCAACGTTACTCTTAATAGGCATTTTACTTTGGTCAGGCTTATTATCTGTTCTCAGATAATATGATGGGCTAAATCAATAAATGTAGCAACAATTGTGTTTAGTTATACATTTATCAAAGTTCTCAGTTTCCACCAAGAGTGCTCCTGTTTTCCTAGGTCAGCTCATGGCCACATAGTAGTCGTCAGGTGAGAAATGTTAAAGACACAGGTTGTACTGCCTAAATATGATCTTTTTGCCACTGAGATGGACTTGACTCATTTTGCAGATAACCCTGTGGGACAGCACTGTCCAATAGAACTGTCTGTGAAGATGGAAAGGTTCTAGATGTGTGCTGTCCAATATCATAGCCACCAGCCACAAGTGGCTCTGGAATACTGGAAATGTGGCAGCGTGATTGAGAAACGGAACTGTAAATAGGCCACCATATTGAACAACACTGCTATCGTTGTTCCCTCCCCTAGGCCAAGATCAGCATCCCTGAGTCAACATCCTTTAGTCAAGGACAGTGTTCCCACAAGCCACGGTCCTGCCAAATTCCTAATGTTACTGAGATAATGCTTTTCCTAAAAAATGATTACTCAGTTTGTATACCATGCTTATTTTGGAGCCAAAGATTTCTTATAAATAAATTCTTTTTAAAATCTGAATACCTTTCCTTTGTCTCAGATAAAGGAAACACATTTTTTTGCCTTGTCACTCTTTTAAAAAAAAATGCTTATATTGATTTTGAGAGAGAGAGAAAGGGAGAAGGAGATAGAGAAACATGGATCAGCTGCCTCCCATATGCATCCCAACCAGGGATCAAGCCCGAAAGCTGTGCATGTGCCCTGACCAGGAAGGGAACTGGCAGCCTTTTGGTGCACAGGACCATGCTTGACCAACTGAGCCACACCAGCCAGGGATGCCTGCTCACTCTTTAAAAGTATATTCAGACATCAGCATATAGAGTCTACATGATTGATTTAAACACTGGCTCCACGTTTTCAAAAAATAATTTGGAAATAACTAAAAAAGACTCTTCTTAATTGGAGTAAATAAATGCTACTCTTTTTTTCAAGTTTCAGGTTGGGATTTTACTTACTGTTTCTACAAACCCTTGGAAATTTTAAACTAAAATCTGTTTCCTTACCGAAACTTTTTTTCCTCCTTCACGCGCACACTCTGCTTTGTTATTGTAGGGTGGTTCATGTGGGCTGGGCTGCTGGAATTGATTGTTTTCATGTAGAAAAAGTTGTTAAAGGATCTGTTTGTTCTTTAAGACACATATAAAGAATCACATGGAGTCAGCAAACATACCACAGAAGAAACAATTTCTAGGCCAAATTGTAGGGCCTACCAATCTTGGCAGGGTTCCTTAAACAAAGAGCGGACTTTGGGGCCCATAATGAGGCTCTATTCAGCAGGCCAGTGCAGCCAGGTCAGGAGAAGAGAGAAGCGGAAGGAACATCCCAGGCAGGAGAGACTGTGTGGATCTAGTCCTCATTCAGCCAGTTCTTAGTTGACGGGCAGAGAACAGACACCAGGACACACTAAGACTGAACAGAAATGGATGTATTGCTAATCAAAGTACGAAAATTTAGCTCCATTATACTTTACCCTGGACCTAAGCCTTCCTGAGGGTCATCAATACATATAGCACACACAGTTGACAGCCCCAAATCTGGGCCTTTCCTGTACACTTGCTCAGGATGAGCAGAGATGATGCCCTCAGGCCATGTATAGGTGGAAATCTGCACTGTTTAGGAAAAAGTTAAAGTGTTGCCTGCATAGTTAGAGTTTGTCTCTGGGTTAGAATGCATTGTAACACACAGCTGCCGGAAATCTCAGACACCAGGACAAACAGTTCTGTAGGGGACAGGTACATTCGGCTACGTGGGGAGCAAGACACGCCCACCTTCCTACATGGAACCTTGCCACAAAGCCTCTGTATATTAAACTGCAAAAGCATGGTCACCAGAGATGGGCTTCAGCGGATTTTGAGGAACTGAAATAAGCTCAAATACATTAAGCCTGTTGTGTAGCCCTGTGTTGACAAGCCATTTATAAGCATGCACCATCACCTACAGTTTATATAACTACACCAATTGAAACCATAAATTTCCACTTCAGACACCCAGAGACAATAATTTGGAAGCTAACTCAGCCATGTAAAAGTGGACTAGGTCCACAGATGCAAGGTCTTAATCAATCTGAATTTGAAAGAAAATCAGGTTGAGGTCTCTAAGGACCAGATGCAAACAGAAACTTGGACCCCTAGGGCCCTGGTATGATAAGGAGTTTTCAAATTCGGTGACCACAGTTAGTGGGGGAACTTGGGTAACGTTTCCAAATAGTACAACTAGCAGCTTGTACAACCTACGAAGCTGCGCATCCTGTTTCAGAGAACATGTATTTATTTAGAATGTAGCCTTTTTCAAGTGGGTCTGCATTATTTCCTGAGAAATTGAAATTAAATAATTCCCCTTTCCTAATAATCAGGGAGACTTACGGTATTTCCAATGAAGAAACAAAGAGGGCACAGGTACTAATAAGTAACTTTATATGACTTGGAATGTGGTGGTACAGGAGCACTCAGGGAACTCCAGTACAAAGCCCTGAGCTGGAGTGGACAAGTCCACAGCATCACGGCCAGGCTCATTAATGCTGCCTGGACTCATAGTTGCCCACACCATGCCAGTGCCGTACCAGGCACCTGGGTGCATAGTCCACCAGAGATTTAAACTGGTGGTCCCTGGAAGAGCAGAGAACACGGAGGTAGCCATGGGGCCTCACAGACAATGAGCTGGTGGGTGGGAGGGACTTTAGAAAAAGGAAAAAGGACAAGACTGAGGGTGGCAGAGGGAAAGAAGCAAGAAATAGCAATCCAGCCTGGGAGCAGTAGGGAGAGAAAGCAGAGAACAGCTAACGGAGCCTTGCAGGGGCCAGAACGGAGGGGACAAGAGAACCCAGGGAGGGGACCCAGACAGCAGCGAAGAGAAGACACAGTAGCAGAGAGAGAGAGAGAGAGAGTACCTGCGAGAGAGTTAACGAGAGGGCTCTGAGCCAGAAGCAAGAGGTGAGGAGAAGCTGAGTCTTCTGGGTCTTTTTTTTCCCCTGCTGAATAGAGCCTTGATTATAGTGTTACCCAATGTCTGGTAAATTTCAGTCTATTCTCTTAACATTTCATGGCAAGAACTACATGAATGCAAAAGGCACCCCAAAGCTAAGAACCCTGAGTCAAATGTGGGCGAAAAACTCGTGCTATAGCTGCGCTTAGCACCCCAATGTAGGTATATTATTATAAAGGGTGATTTTTCAAAACAAATTTTTTTAACCACCAGGTTTATTTTCGTTCCCACTCCAGCCCAATGAGCCTAATGTGAGTTAATTCCCTCCCCCCACCCCAGTGACAGCTGTTCTTTTGAACCTTATGAATAGGCATCTGATTTAGATTTGAAAGAAATCATTTTAGAAGTGGGTGCGGACTCCCATAAGCACAACTCAGATAAATCCAAGCCAAGGCACCACAGACTTCTTTAAAAATCAAGAAATCTGGTGACCAGCAAGGAGTCAGAGTTACTGTTAAATCTAAACCCAGTGGATGCATTTTCCTCCTTCAGGCTGTAAATTCAGGCATAAGTGGTTTCAAGACCATTCCCTACTTGTGAATTTAATATAGAAAATGTATCTGCAGCTCAACTACAAAAGGGGGAAAGTTCCTTTCAATTTTATTGGAGCTCAGCTCCATTATGACTTTGTGGCCTCTGTTAGAGAAAAACATTCTCCCATAATGAGCTTTTATATCATTAAGTTGGACATGAAATAACAGTTGATGGTAGCAGCCCCTGCAGGAACTGACTGGTTTGTGACCCACCATAGTTTGCTTGCCTAATCTGGGCAGGGTTTTAGGTGAATACAATAAATAAGTTTAACTTGACCAAGACTACATGTATGTCCCATGCAATTCCTACAGAATACTGTAACAGTGAGAGGTCTGAAACGCCATTTAAGCTACTTTTTCCCTATAGAAAGCAAAAAGAAAAGCAATGGGGCTTTAAGAAATTTAAACATAGCATATACTGAAGTGCAAACCTACTAAAAATGATCATTTAAATACTTACAATTCCATCTCTATCAGGTGAACCTCTGTAACAAAAAGAAATTTGTAGCTATTAGGAAAATGAATCATTCTTGCTACATAGACCAAAGTATAACAAGAAACATTAACCACCTCTCCCCCCACCTCCCCTGTTCTCACCCCAGTAAATCCATCTAATGCAAACTAAATCAAAACAAATTGGTCCAGTGGTATTTGAGTGTGAGGCATGTGTATGTGTATGTGGGAGCGAGATTCTCATTAAAAGCTGAAGTCCAAAAGGCACCAAGTTGCTGCAGCAGTTTTTGTCCCCTTTGAAGAGGAGAGCTCATTAAGTGTCTGTCCCAGTCTATGGCTCGATTTAAAACTAGCACCGGGAATGTAAACCAACTGGTTCTCTCTCATCTTCTCCATGGGAGTGGTCTTGAGTTTCCCCCATAAGAAGAAACTACTATGGTATTGTTCAACTTACTTTGAGAATCTGTATTTTCTTCCATATTTCTCTACTTATTGCTCCAATGATTATAGGAAAGCAGGAAAGAGAGGGCAATGTTTCCTCAGGGCTCACTCTGATGACTCAGGGGAGTTCACCATGGTGGCACAGTGTGTGCCACAGTGCTCAGGAGTAAGGATGTAGAACAGGATGACTCTGAGTGTCCAGACTCCACCACTTGTTGGTTCTGTAACCTCAGTAAGCCAACTTAGATCAAATAATGTATATAAAGAATTTATAGGGAAACTAAGATGGCGACATAGGTAAATATCGGGAAATTGCTGCCTCCCACAACAACTTCAAAAATAAAATGAAAAGACAAAACAGACATCACCCAGAACTACAGGAAGGCTGGCTGAGTGGAAATTCTACAACTAGAAGGAAAGAAAAGCACACTGAGAGCCAGAGGAGCTGCGGAAGTGAAGTGCAGAGGTACGGAGGTTCGCGTGCCGAAAGGGTCTGGCACCTGAGGACATGGCTGTCTTTTTGAAGTTCATGAAACAAGAATGCTCCCGACTGCTCTGAACTCCGGTTCCGGGAAGTCTCTGGGGACCCAGGACTCATACGGGGAGAAACTGGACTGTCTGGCAGCAGGCAGAACTCGGAACTCGAGGGTGGCTTTCCCTCAGAGGTGCTTGCAGCAATTATCGGGACACTGAGACACGCGGCCCCTTAGGGCAGGGCTGAGGATCAGCCATAGCTGCTTGCTCTGCCCTGTTGATTCCTTGAGACCCCGCCTCACCTAGGCTGCGGCAGAGGCTTTT